CCGTACGAGTTGTAGTATTGGTAGTACTGGTAGTAGTAGGAGTAGTAGTAGTAGTAGTAGTAAGTAGTCGCAGTCGAACTCTTAATTATATTATTAGTAGTAGTAAAAGTACTACTCGTAGTAGTAGTAGTAGTAGTAGTAGTAGTAGCAGTAGTAGTAGTAGTAGTGGTGGTGGTGGTGGTAGCGGTAAGTGGTAGTAGTAGTAGTAGTAGTAGTGGTAGTAAGTAGTAGTAGAAGTAGTAGTAGTAGTAGTAGTAGTAGTAGTAGTAGTAGTAGTAGTAGTAGTAGTAGTAGTAGTAGTAGTAGTAGTAGTATTAGTAGTAGTAGTAGTAGTAGTAGTAGTAGTAGTAGTAGTAGTAGTAGTAGTAGTAGTAGTAGTAGTAGTAGTAGTAGTAGTAGTAGTAGTAGTAGTAGTAGTAGTAGTAGTAGTAGCAGTAGTAGTAGTAGTAGTAGTAGTAGTAGTAGTAGTAGTAGTAGTAGTAGTAGTAGTAGTAGTAGTAGTAGTAGTAGTAGTAGTAGTAGTAGTAGTAGTAGTAGTAGTAGTAGTAGTAGTAGTAGTAGTTGTAGTAGTAGGTAGTAGTAGTAGTAGTAGTAGTAGTAGTTAGTAGTATAGTAGTAGTAGTAGTAGTAGTAGTAGTAGTAGTAGTAGTAGTAGTAGTAGTAGTAGTAGTAGTAGTAGTAGTAGTAGTAGTAGTAGTAGTAGTAGTAGTAGTAGTAATAGTAGTAGTAGTAGTAGTAGTAGTAGTAGTCGTAGTCGTAGTCGTAGTCGTAGTCGTAGTAGTAGTAGTAGTAGTAGTAGTAGTAGTAGTAGTAGTAGTAGCGTAGCGTAGTAGTAGTAGTAGTAGTAGTAGTAGTAGTAGTAGTCGTAGTAGTAGTAGTAGTAGTAGTAGTAGTAGTAGTAGTAGTAGTAGTAGTAGTAGTAGTAGTAGTAGTAGTAGTAGTAGTAGTAGTAGTAGTAGTAGTAGTAGTAGTAGTAGTAGTAGTAGTAGTAGTAGTAGTAGTAGTAGTAGTAGTAGTAGTAGTAGTAGTAGTAGTAGTAGTAGTAGTAGTAGTAGTAGTAGTAGTAGTAGTAGTAGTAGTAGTAGTAGTGGAAGTAGTAGTAGTAGTAGTAGTAGTAGTAGTAGTAGTAGTAGTAGGAGTAGGAGTAGGAGTAGTAGTAGTAGTGGTAGTAGTCGTAGTAGTACTATTCACAGCAGTTCTAAAGAATCCTGAGGAGTTCCGAAGATTTCGAAGGGATCCGGAGGAATCTGGAAGATCCCATCCGTGGTTGGAATTGGTCTCATTTTTGGTTGGGTTGGAATTGGTCTCATTTGTGGTTGGAATTGGTCGCTTTTCTGGTTGCAATTCGCTCCGAACGGTTGGAATTGGGCCTAGTCGATTGTAATTCGTTCCATTTCGGGGTCGACCCCCCCCCCCTCCGTCAAGGGGGGTTCGAACCCCCCCTCTATCCAGGGGGGGGGGTCCAGTCCCCCCCCCCTCCAAGCGACCGCGAAACGCGTTGTTTCAGAGCTCCAAAGCCAGGATGACCTCCAAGGCGGCTCAGACAGCCCAAGTTGGCTCATGATGGTTCCCAAGATGCCCCAAGCGGCACCGAGACCGTTCCAAGACGGCTCGAGATGGCCACGAAGCCTCCCAACTCCCGAGCCTCCCTCGCTGTTTGACGGTGCGTGTCTCTTCCTGTCTCCCCCGGTCAACTTTCACGGGCATGGTTTCTGCATGGGCTGGTAGGGATTGTGTCCCGTCGCGGCCGCAAGCGGAAGCGCAGGCGGCGTCCGAAGTCAGGCCGAGCTACGAGCCAAACCTACTTACCTAAGCGCGCGAACTAACGGCCGCCGGAGCTGCCGCCGAGGGACGCCCGGGACTGAAGGCAGAGCTGCAAGAGGTGCCAGGTGTGCCAGGCGGGGCTGGTGGGGACACTTTCTTAGTCAGCAGCCGCAGGCGAAAGCGCACAGCGGCGAGTCAGGGTCCGAGCAGGCCACGCGAGGGCCGAATTAACCAAGCAAAAGCAGGCCTAACACCGCCGCTCGGAACGGGACCAGGAAGTAGCCGAAGAGGGGGCGAGGCTGCAAAACTGCCAGGGGCTGCAAACGTGCAACGAGCTGCAGGGGGCTGCTGACTGCCAGGGTAACCAGCTGCCAGGGTCTGCAAGCTGCTAGTGGCATGCATGCAAAACGTGAACAACCGCTGTGACTGGAGAGGCTGCCAGGGCTGGTGGGGACACTTGTTGTCGCGGCCGCAAGCGAAAGCGCCGGAGGCATCCGAAAAGGTCGGGCGGGCTACGCGCGAGCCTAATTATACAGCGACCGAGCGCGGGATCAGAACCTACCGCTGGGTGGGCAGCTGGCTGAAGCTGAGCTGGGGCACCGCTGGTGGGTACACTTTTTTGGTCGCGGCCCCGAGCGAAGAGCGCACGCGGCGAGAAAAGTTGTCCAGGCCTACGAACAAACCTCAGGACTCGATCCTCGTGAGGGGTGCGTCCACTAAGATATTCGATTTTCCGACGCAGCAATTTCGGGAAATTCTGTCCACGGGGCTCCGTGGACGGGGACGTCCCCGAAAAATGCCCAGGGCGGCCCTCCCGATGTTTCGAGCGACCCCCGCGCCTCCGACGCCTCCCCCCTCCCCCGCCTCCCCCGAGGACGGCGGGACCGCCGAACACATGACGCGGGCACCCGCAGCGGCCGCCGAGGACCCGCCGCCACCCCACTGCCCAGGGGGGTGGGAGTGGGCGGGGAGGCGGTTGCTGGGCGGGAGGAGGACGGGGTCGCGGGCTGGCCGAGGAGAGGGTCTCGTGCGTCCGAGGTGCTGGCACCCCTGGGCAGGGCAGCAAAGTGCTGTCGCGTGCATCCAGACGGGCAGGCCGCTGATGGGGAGTCGTCGGTATGGCTGCCTGCAGGAGGCCTTGCGTTCGGGGTCATCTGTGCACTGGTTGCCTATAGGGGCTACGTTCTGGCCCATGCCTGCGCTGGCTGCCTATTGGATGTTTTACGCTCTGGACCGTGTCTGCACAAGGGGAAGGGCGCCCCGTGTCTAGGGCGGCCTCGGTGCTATGATAACCCCCCGCCCTCCCCCCCCCGCCCCTCCTCCCCGTCCCGCCCTCTCCCCGCCATTCCCTCCTGCCCTCTCCCCACCACATCGACTTCTGGCCAATGAATAGTCGGTGCGCCAAGAATAAATTATTCGGAACAATTTGTTTTGCTGGCGATTTTCTTGTCTCTGTTTCAATTTCCGTTTTGAATATTCGGGGGGTATTTTCAGCGAAACGATTTACAGCTGTTCTGCGGGGCCACTCAATCCACGTCCTTCGTCACGCTGTCTGCGTGGTTACATCTTTTACTTGCTCCCCGGTGCAGGTCTAGCATCGTCCTCGGGCCTATTCTGTGCCACAATTATGGGGGTGGGCAGGACCTGAAGCGGCCTCGTGAGGTCACCGACCAGATGTTCCCCAGCTTGCGTCACCTTCGGGGCCCCCCAGGTGGCCCCCTGAGGTCACCGGCCGGAGGTTCCCACACCTTGCGGGGGTTACCTTCCGGGGCCGGGAAGCGGCCTCCTGAGGTCACCGGCCGGAGGTTCCCACACTTTTCTGGTTCCTTTTCAGGCTGCCTCAGTCACGGAGTCGTCAGGAGCTCCGACCTGAGACCCGCGAGTTGCCAGACGTTGGACATCGGCCTCGCCTCCCCTCCCCCACTTCTGGCGCGGACCATCATTGACATATGCCCCTCCGGTGGTGACCATCATAAGCGCCACCCCTTCGGCAACTGCCATCATAGGGTCTGCCGTGGATCTCGCTCCCAGTTCTACGTCGCCAACAGAGGGGGCCGAGGACTCTTTTATGCACCCTCGGCCAACGAAGACGGCCAGAAAGGAGGGACCAACGAACCTCCAAATTCTTCATACCGTAACCCAACGCAACAATCAACCATTTACTCATGTTCCGACCTGCCTCCCTCCTTCTTTCCCTCCGCTTTCTGCTCTCCCGTGCTGTGAGGGAATTGGGCAAGGAACCCTTTGATAAGGAATGCAGCGTCTGGAAGCTGGTGGAACTCCAATCGTGGATTGGCTAATCGGGATCAGCGCCGCCCGCATCTGACAAAAAACCCACAGGGTCTGAAGCCTGCTGGGCACATTCCTTAACCAATGCCCCCACTGTATCCCCACCCCCCGACGCAAACCACAGACCGCTGAGGAACAGGATGAGAAGGACGAGGAGGGGGGAGCATTGACTCCACCACACCGTCGGAGCGCCTTAGCTCCCCACCAGGAGGGAGCGGCCCTCGCTGACCGCAGACCCCTCCTTGAAACGGATCGTGGCCACACGAGGGGAGGAGAAAGTGAAGAAAAACAAGGACCCGGACATCCGACATCGTGCGTCCTGTGGGCATCCCACGTCGGACGAGAAACCAGCCCTGGGGAGTGGGTCGAAAGCTCCAGGGACCCCACACTGGAACATAGTCACGAGGTCACAGGTCTGGGGACGAGGAGTGGAGGAGAACGGACGGGGCGAGGGAGGGAATGGAGGAGCAGGGGTGACGAGAGCCCAAATCTCCGACGTCATGTTTCCTGTTCGAAAATTGGAGCCCATATGTAGGTCTAGACTGTTCCCTGGGGTCGGACAGTCTTTTCATCCCGAACCGCTGTCTGACGGAAACAACGGCCTGGTCGAGCTTGTGTTGCGTCCAACCTCATGTATGATGCTGCTCAGTGCCTCTCCTTGCAGTAGCGCTGCGGCTGCTGCCCAACATTTCCTCTCTTGCAGCGGAAACGTCGGCGTACCCTCGGCACCTTTTTGAGTCAGCTGGGGCAAAAAAAGTGCACAACAGCAGGAGCCATCGCGTAACATCCAGGTGGGCTGCTGCTGCTCCTGTTGCTGCTCTTGTTCCTCCTCAACGCCGTCCTCCTGCTCTTCTTCGTCCTCGCCTTCCTTCTTCATCCCACGCCTCTGGCTCCACACTGGCTTCCATGCTCGTGATCCTGATGAGGTTCCTGCTGCTTGCTGTTGCCACCCCCATTCGCTCCCATCGCTTTCTACCTCGCGCCACCACTGCCGCGTCAAGCCTGCGTCGCCCGGCGTGCACGCAAGGGTAAAAGGGCCAAGGCGGCCACTGGTCCAAGCCCAAGAGCTGCCCACATCCACCGACTTGGAGGCGCGCCCCTAGGGATCTCGCGGAGATGGCTCCTCCCCGCCCCCAGGGGAGGCGGAAAGCACCCACATCCAACACTGCTGCCCCCGATCCTCGGGAGCACGTCGCCACATCGGTGGGACACGACGGTGCCGATACCGCTGCACCCCGGACATCTGCTGGGGTGCGTGCTGACCGAGAACTCGACGAGACTCTGGCCGTGATGACGAGGGTTTCGCACGGGGGAAACAGGTCATGAGGGAAACGGGTCCTGGACCCTGGTGATTTCTCCTAGGACGAAATCTTCATCCCGACTGGTTTTCTGATGGTCCTGGGGCCCGGGGAAGGCCCTGAGCACCCGAAAACGGAGAAAAAACCTCAGGACCTGTTTCCCTCAAGGCCCGCTTTCCCCATGGCGAAATACCTTCCACGACGAGCAGCGGTATCGGTACCTCCTCCCTCTTTGATGGACGGGCCCAGGGCGCGGAATGTGCAGTGCGAGGGCAAGCCCTCATCCGCCACGTCCCCGCCGCAACACAAAGATCGCGTCGTCGAGCGCGTACGCTGGGCTCAACGCGTCTCCCTGCGACAGGTACGGCGCCCGCGCCAACGCCTCCAGCTCGAGCCCTGCCGGCTGGAGCACCCGGCGCCACAGCAACACCACGGAAGCCTCCCAGCCTCAGCCGGCGCGGCGGCGCAGGAAGGCAAGTGGTCCCTGCACAGTAGGTTCTGGCCAATTCATTCGCCTGGCATTTCACCCCACCCTTTCCGTCGCCTTTTCGAACCGCCCTGGGCCGAAAAGGCGTGCGAGCCCTGATTTGTGTTATATGTTTGTTTCCTCCCGGGCTTCGCCACGCCCCCTCCCCCCCACGCAAGCCAACCTCCCGAAGTTTTGAAACAGGGTTCCCAAAGCCCCAAGAGGCAGGAACAACTCCTGGGAGGTCTTCGCCAAAACGATTACGGGCTACGAAGCCCGAGTAGGGGGCCACTGAACCATATTAGCCCTGACGAAGCCCTGGATGACACCAGATTGCTCGAAACAAAACGGGACAAAGCAAGACAATGCCAGAATGGTCCAGTTCTCGACCACGGAAATTCCAGCGCCGATGCTGAATTCACCCTCCCAAGAATTGCATCCTGAAGGGCGGCCGAATCGGTCACACGCAAAGGTGACCCTAAGACAAGGGTGACCTTTGGCGCGCGGACTGAAGGGGGCGCAAGGTGGCCAAATACAAGCGAGCAGGCAGCCGGTATCGCATCGCGCTCACCGATCAGGCAGGCCCCGATGAGCCCGCACCAGAGGTCCTTCCGGGAAAGGCGCTTGCGTGTAGCCGACAGAATCCAGAGCGTGACGAAAGCAATCCTCCTTCAACTACTCCCCGCAGCGCGCGCGCGGCCCTTTTTGCCCGCGCCGCTTGCGCTTCAGAGCCAGGTCAGACCCAAGCTGTGGCACGCTGCGGGGGGCCTGCGCTGCGGCCGGGCGCCGCCGCAGCCCGAGGACGCGCACGCCGCGCGCCGGCCGACACCTGTCTGTAGCTTTGCACTCGGAGAGGCCCGGCTCGGCCCCACGCGGCCCTCCACAGCGAGGAGTGGAAGGCAAGGGGCAGAGGCGTCGGGACATCGAGGCCTGTATTCACGTAGCTGCTTGGTGCCAGGCGTGGCTTCTGCATCTCGGTCTCCTCCTGGTGGCGCCATACGGTAGCGACTCCTCAGAGGCCTAGCTTCTCGACCCCACTGTCTCAGGACGGCCTGGGCAACAATTCTACACTTGTCCTGTGTGGCGGCCCTCTGTTTGCATCATGCCAGATGGCTGTCTCGTAAAGAAAACAGGGCCGCCCCCTTCTCCCTTGTTCTACTTTTCCCCTCCTCCCCTTACCTGCTCCACCCTCACCACTTCCATCCTCCCTGGTCCTCCCCCGCCCAATTTTTGTTGTTATCATCCTCCTCCACCTGCCCCCCTCCTCCTCGTCTTCCCCCCCGCACTGTCCCCCATCCTCCCCGCCTTCCCGTCAGCGCCGATGGCGACGACGCCCGCGACGACCCTCGACGACAACGACGTTTCTCGACTACGACAGCGGCCACGACCGAGACCACGACGACGACGACGAAGACGACAACGAGCACCGAGGTCTTCCTCGGTCTCGGAAGTTTCTGGAGAGCCTCTGAGCTCTGGAGGCCTCTAAAAGGCCAGGAGAAGAGAAACCATATCAAAAACCGGGTCTCCGATCATCGATCCTCGAAGACCCTCGAACCTCCCCGACGACGGCAGTGAAGACGCGACTCGCCGACAACCGACACGAAGTCCCTGGACGAAGACGGCTACGACGACGACGATGAGGACGACGAGAACAACAAGAACATTGACGTCGACGACGACGACGACGACGACGACGACGACGACGACGACGGCGAGGACGACGACGGCGATGACGACGGCGAGGACGAGGACGACGACGCCGGCGATGACGACGAGGACGAACGACGGCGACGACGACGACGGCGACGGCGACGGCGACAGCGGCGACGACGACGACGACGACGACGACGACGTCGACGACGACGACGACGACGGCGTCGGCGACGGCGACGGCGACGGCGACGGCGACGAGGACGAACGACGGCGACGGCGACGGCGACGGCGACGACGAGGACGGCGACGAACGACGAACGACGACGACGACGACGAACGCCGACGACGACGACGACGGCGACGGCGACGACGAGGACGGCGACGAACGACGAACGACGACGACGACGACGACGACGACGACGACGACGACGACGACGACCACGACCACGACCACGAGCCGCGCTGGGCTCCCGGCTGGCGCCGGGCGGCAGCGGCAGGCGCTCCGAGGGCCGCCCCCGGCCGCGGGCGCCGCGGTCGACGAAGGGCCGGTAGGGCAGCACCTCGGCGACCGAGAGAGGGGTGCCACTTGCGAACCCTACCCCTGCCCCCTCAGAAATCGTGGGGGGTAGGGGTAGGGTTCGCAAGTGGCCCCCTACGAGAGAGGGTGGGGAGGGGCAGCAGGGTCCAGAGTTCCAACGCGTTGGAGAATTCAAGAGAGGGGCAAAAGTAGGGCAGCACCTCGGCGACCGAGAGAGGGGTGCCTGCCCAGAGAAACGACACCTGCCGAGTTTTCGGCTTCGAAAGGATCGGGGGCGCGACGCTGGGCCGAATGGTCGAGCTGCCGAGTCTTCTCTTCGTTGAGCCCGAAGCATGGGTAAACGTCCGAAAAACAACTTGCGTCAACCATAACCTGGGCGTCCGAGAGAGGGGGGGGGGAGGGGCAAAAATAGGGGAACGAAAGGTGGCCTAAACATAAAAACTCGGAAAAAACTCGGAAATCCGCGCAGACCTCCGAGTTTTTATGTTTGTGTCACTTTTTGTTCCCCTAGGAAGGGTCCAGAGATCCAACGCATTGGAGAATTCAAGACTGGGGCTTTTCGCCGTTGCCAGCCTCGCAGAGGGCCTCGCCAGGCCCCAGGGCCGTCAGAGAGCGACTCGGGAAGAACATCCAGGCCAGGGGAGAAGGTCGGGACTTACGGGAAGCTCGTACCGGAAACTGTCCTGGCGACGAACTCAACTATGTGCAGGCTGTATGCAATACAATTGTGAGTCTCGTCTTCGGCGGAGGCCCCATACAGGGCCACGAAGCGTGTGATGGGCGGGGGGGGCGCATGTGAGCACTGCCACTGGGACCTTCGGAGGAGATCCTTGTGGGGCCATGAAACGTGCGAGGGGTGTGCCGACAGGTACCGTGGGGACGCATGTGGGCACTGCCACTGGGGCCTTCGGTGGGGCTCCCCATGGGGCCACGAAGCGAACTGTATGAGGGGTGTACCGAAAAGGGTTTAGTGGACGCATGTGGCCACTGCCACTGGGGCATTCGGTGGAGCTCCCGATGGGGCCACGAAGCTTGCCAGGGGTGTGCTGGCATGAACTTAGGGGACGCATGTGGTCACTGCCACTGGGGCCTTCGGTGGGGCTCCCCATGGGGCCACGAAGCGTGTGAGGAGTGCCGAAGTGTGACTGGTAAGGAGGGCAGAGGCAAGGATGACAGGGGGGAGTGGGCAGCCGGAGGGAAGGAAGGCGACGCGGGGTGCTGTCTCTTCAGAACGAGGGCCCAGCACCACAAGATGGCTGAGACAAATCAAGACATCAGCTGTCTGGGGTCCGAGGGAAATGGTGGGGGGGAGAGGGATCCAGTCCGTAGTGGGCCTCGGAAGCTCCGGGTCCTTGGAGGTGAATTTTGTTCAGAACACTTCTGTTCTGAAGGAGCCGTTGTGTTATCGTTACCGTTGTTCAGTTGGTGTTTCCAGCTCCTTCAGCGCTTCTGTTCCACTTAGTCGTCGTGCTCTTCTCGCTTCAATGCCGTATCCGATTTGGACGCCGTTCTTTGTCCGTTTCGGTGAGCCGTACCTTCAGAATCAAGAGCCAAAGTTTTGGATATAAGACTCCGCAAACCAAAAAACAGCCGCTTCCAAGGCCAACCTGAATCCAATCCAGTCCAGTCCGTTCCTTGAAGTCCGAGTGTCCGAAACTGCCGCTGTTCCTGAGCGTCGCGTTCGCGACAGCCTGCTCTCATGACAGGTGCAGAGGCCTCTCCACGCCTACTCGACCACCATTCACGCTGCTCCTCTGCTCCTCCAGGGCGACCGCCGTTTGGGCGCGCAACCGGGCAGGAAGATCGGGGAGGAGGAACGGGAGGACCGAAGTAGACGCAGGGTGCGTCAGCGATGCTGTAATACACCCTCCAGTCCCAAGTCCACTCCTCATGAGCCCCTGCAGGCATCTCCTGCACTGCTGGAAGCACCCACCTGAAAGCCGAGCGCCCCACGGACCTGCTGTTCAGGCCAGTAGCCAGTTTAGTAAAGGGACTGCAATGAGAAACTCTGAGGAGTGGGGCACAAAGTTTGAGGAAAGGTACAGCGAGAACCCCGCTTTGCAAAGCAACCGCCCTCCTCCCGTGCAACCGTCGCACATGGTTACACGTCGGGCAGTTTATTGGGATGCTGTCTCTGGCCAAAGGCCAACGTGAAAACAAGCCACCATCAACCCTTGTGACTGCTGGGAGCTCTTAGGACGAATGGGAGCGGCGCCGTGGCGAGAACGACTTGCGCACCACATACCGACATCCGTGTATGTGCCCGGGGGGAGCTTTGAGACGACTGCACGCGGTCCAAAGGCGAGACCAGCATTTCGAACTGGACCCGCCCGCCATCCCTGCCACGGCTGGAAGCGTTTGGGACGAATGCACACTGCGCCAAAGAGAGAGAGAGAGAGAGAGAGAGAGACTCGCTGGTCGGGCTGTGGATAACTGCTATAACAACAAAAAAGCATGGCGAAGATGTGAGAGCCGCATTGCGGCTCTTACGTTAGTGCCGTGCACGCTCGTGGTGAAACATTGCGGTTGCAACATTTCTCCACCACCCGCCCTCCAACCGTGCAAATGCTTGGAATGGTTAGCGTCGGGATCATAACCCGTGATGATGTCTCAGGCGAAACGCCTGGATCACCCTGCCGACACGTCTGGGAGATATCCACCAGGGAGAGGGGTGGAGGATCGCTGTGGAGGATCGAAAGGAGAAGGCGGAGGAAAAGAACTGGAGGGACAAGGATGGAAAGGAGGGGGAAGGATGAGGAGGAGGAGGAGGAGAAGGTAGCGCGGAGAAGGAGAGGTAGAAGGACGAGGAGCGAGGAGGAGAAAGGAACAAGAAGGAGGGGAAGAGGAGGAGGATAGGGAGACGGGGAGGATGATGAGGGGAGGACGGGCGAAGCTGGCGGCGCGCACAAGGGGGCAGGGGGAGGCGGGAAGGCCTCTGAGAAGGAGGCTGCTTCTTGGAAGGCGCCGGCCTTACATCTAAAGACAAGGCCCGCGCCTTCCAAGAAGCAGGGGTGCTTCTAAGAAGCCTTCCCCCCTTCTGCGCGCGGCCGACACAGGGAGGGGGCCCAGGGCGAGAGGCAGAGGAGGAGCTGCCGTCGACCTGCCGTGGGGGCGACAAGGCCGGCAGGGCGCGCGCGGCAGGGGCGCTCCGCGGGCGAGAGCGGGAGGACGCCCCGCGGAGCGATGTGCGGCGAGGGGGGGGGGGGGGGGGGCGAGGCGAGGGAGAGCGGGCCTCCACGAAGGCAGGCACTCCGCTCCCAGGATTTCGCCTCGGACTGCGCCCTCGCCCACGACGAGGGCAGGGGGAGGGGGAGGGAGGGGGCTTTGTCCTGGAGGGGAGGGCCGGAGGCGGCTTCCGGGAGCCCTCTGTGGGGAGTGCGCGAGGGTTTCTTCTGTGTTTTTGCATGTGTTTTGGACAGCCGATTTGGAAATCCGTCCGAAACCGGCATGCGCGCGCGGCAGACGCGCGCGTCTGGATTTTGCCCCGCACTTTGCAAGGGATTCTCGCGACGGCGCGCGCGCAAGGGCGTTCGAACGATTTCGACACGCGCGCGCGAAACCCGTTTGGTAGCATTGTCTTGACATGTTTTACAAAAAAATGGTTTCTTGGAAAATTCGCAAGAACGCGCGCACGCTTTTGTTACAACTCAATGTTTGCGAAACATGTTTTATTCTATAAAACAAATATTTCCTACACCATGATTCGTGATAGACGAGTGCGCGCATAATACGTATTCCAGAAAATGGCAAGGGGACCGATGCCTGTTTGGCTGGGATGCTATGAATTCACAGGTAGGACGGGCATTGTTTTCCAGGGGTGGCTCAGTCCGGGGGGGGATGGTAGAACTTTTATATATATATACTACATTACAAACAATGGATACTCAACTGGAAACTGTTCATTCCAATGCTCGCGCACACATCCAACCCACCCATCCACCCGCAACTTGGTTTACAAACCCCATGCGGCGGCGATTGCGATGAGTGTTTGGCGCTGGCGGGTGCATTTCTGCGGCCGCGACCGCCCGCGCACGCACGCGCGCGCAGCGGCCAGGTAGTTTGGCGCGACCGACGCAACCGCGGTGGCGCTGACTGCTGGGCACATGCCAGCGGGAATTTCAATGCGAGTCGGCGGCTCGGGCGGGCGCGGTGTCATGGCAACGTCGGCAACGGTAGACACGGTAATGGTAGTAGCTATGCTGGCGGCGATGCAGGCAGCGACGACGGCGCGGCCAGTGACGGCGCGGATGCTGATCACGCCGACAACCACGACGGCGTCCTCGCGTCAGCGATGACAGTCTTAAAAAGAGCACTACACGCGCGCGAGGCAGACGTGCGAGAGTGGCCCGTGCGGCGTTATTTGACGCGGATCGTGCCCCCCAACACGCGCGCAAGAGCGTGCGACAAATTTCGGCATGCGGCGCCAGAGGACTGGTTGGCAGAACTCCATGAACATATTGAAACACGTATGGTTGTCATCAGAAGTCGCAGGAGCGCGAGTGCCGCTTTTTGAATATGACGTTGCGAAACATATTTTTATATGTTTATTGAACAATCGATTTGGAACCCTGGCAAAACAGATGGATCCCGAATGAGTTCGGCATGCACGCGCGACAACGCGCGAGCGCAGTTCTTCCCATTTGTTGCAATGGATCCTCGCGACGGCACGCACGCAAGGGCGTTCAAACGATTTCGACATGCGCGCGCGAGGCCCACGTGGTAGCATTCTTGAAAATGTTGAAGAAGCGATCGTTTCTCAGAATTCGCGAAACAACGCGCGAAGTTTGCTTTGAAAGTCCGTGGGCCCTATATTTTTAAATGCGTATGGGACACTCGATGTTGAAATCCTTACGACACCGAAAGTGTTCAAAGGATTTGTTCGGCATCGCCGGCGACGACGCGCGCGTGTCAGTTCGTCTTGTCGTTGTTATTCTTCCTCTTTTTGAAAGAGTTTTTTTGCATGTTATGCTATTTGGATATATCTATGTATAAAACACTCATGGTGTTTGATAAGCGAGTGCGCGCGCATAACTTTCATTGTGAAGGACGGCAGGGTGGGCGGACACCGGCTCGGCTGGGATGGCACGACTCATATTTCGGGTGGGCGACTGGGGGGGAACCGCATGTACATTGCAATGCGAAAAGGGGATGTCATAATCCTGGAGGAGGGGGGGGGGCGAGTTTGTTTTATTTCCGCAAGAGAAAACTGAGTTCCACAATTGAGCTGGCAAGTGCGATGCTCTTGCAAGCAGCCCACCCACCCGCCCGCACATTGGTCTGCTAAACCCATGCGGCGGCGATTGAGATGAGTGTTCGGAATTGGCTGGGGCATCTGCGCGGCCGCGCTAAACCGCGCATGCTCACGAGGGCCAGCTAGTTTGGCGCGACCGACGCGGCCGCGGTGGCGCTGACCGCTGGGCACCTCCCAGCGCACCGGCACTTCACCGCGACTCGGTGAGGTGGGCGGGCGCGGTATAATGGCGACGCTGGCAACGGTAGACACGATTACGGTGAGTAGCGCGGGTGACGAAGGTGGCGAAAGACGACGGCAAGGCCAATGGCGGCGCCGATGTTGATCACGCCCGCCGATAACGATGACGATGTCCTCGCGTCGGCGATGAACGTTCTGGCAGGAGTTCAACATGCGCGCGCGGCCGATGCGCGCGAGTGGGCCGCATGGAATTATTTGACACGGATCGCGACCTCCCTGCAGCGCGCGCAAGGGCATTCGAATGAGTCCGACATGTGGCACGAGAGGCCCGTTTGGCAAATTGTGCGAACAATGTTTGGGCACTGAAGGTTTTCTTCAGAATCCGCACGAGCATGAACGCCATTTTTTGTGTTGGAACTGATGTTGCAAAACCTTGTGTGACTATATATACATATGTTTTCAGGGCGTTCGATTTTGAAACCCTTACGAAACCGAAGGTTGGTAAAGGATTTCGGCACGCGCGCGCGACGGCACGCGCGTTCATTTCGCCACTTTTTGTTGCAAGGGGTTCTTGCGACAGCACTCGCGCGAGGGCGTCCGAACGATTTCGAAACGCGCGCGCGAGAGGCCCGTTTGGAAGCCTTATATGACTGTTTGTTAAGAGCGATGGGATGGGTGTCTCAAGAATTCACAAGAGCGCGGGCCCAAGCTTGTTTTGACATCTTCGTTGCGAAACAATATGTTTTGATATGTTTTCGGGACACTCGACGTTTACATCCGTACGAAACGCCAAGTGTTTCACACAGAAAAAACCGGCATGCGCGCGCGACGACGCGCGCATGTGCACTTCGTCTCATTTGTTGCAAAGACTGATTGAAAACTGCTGGCGTTTGATTGAGGAGATTGCGCGCGCAATTTGTTTTGAAAAATGATGGCGGGGGGGGGATACCGGCTGGGCTAGGATTGCATGCGTTCGTATGTAGGATAACCGGGGGGCAAAGATCATGAGCGCATTCATTCACCAGCGAAGCCAACAACGGTTAAGTCCGGAGGGGGGCGGGGGTAGAATCGAATCTCTTCTTACTAGCGGAAAACCTACGTTGTACAATTCACCCTGCCGAGCTTGAAGTTGTCAACTCCATTGCACGCGCAATCCTCCCACCCACCCACCCGCAACTTGGTTTGCAAAACCATGCGGCGGACATTGCGATGAGTGTTCGGAATTGGCTGGTACATCTCTGCGTCGCTCTAGCCCGCGCGTGCTCGCGTGCACAGCGGCCAGGTAGCTTTGCACGACCGGCGCGGCCGCGGTGGCGCTGACCGCTGGGCACCTCCCACCGGGCACTGCAATACGAGTCGGCGACTTGGGCTGGCACTGTATCATGGCAGCGTCGGCGCCGATAGGCACGATGATGATAGTAGCGGTGCTGGTGGCGATGGCAGCGACGACGACGACGGAAAGGCCACTCACGGCTCCGATGTTGATCACGCCGACGACGATCATGGCGTCCACGCGTCGGGGATGAAGGTTTTGGACAGGTTTCGACATACGCGCGCGGCCGACGCTCGATACTCTTTGACACTGATCGTGCCTCCCCCAAACACGCGCGCAAAGCAGGCCGAATGATTTCGACATTCGGCGCGGGAGGCCCGTTTGGCAGAATGTTGTTAACAAGTTGGCACACAACTTCTGGTGCTCTTAGAAAACCATAAAAACTCGAGCGCAAGCGTGTTCGAAAACTGAAGTTGCAAACCCGTGTGGTTTTAAATGCTTCCGGGACACTCGACTATGACATACTTACGAAACCCTATGTTTTTGACGGACTTCGGCATGCGCGCGCAACGACTCGCGCAGGGATCCTTGCGACAGCACGCGCGCAAGGGCGTTCGAGTGATTTCGACATGCGTACTCGAGAGACCCGTCTGGTAGCAAAGCATACACATGTGGAAAACAAAAATGGCGTTCGTAAAGATTCGCAGGAGCGCGAGGGCAAGCTTCTTTGCCAACTGTTGTTGCGAAACCCTGTTTTTTTGTATGTTATGTAGAAATGTTTTCGGGACGCTGACATCTTTACGAAACCTTAAACAGGTGTTTTAAAGATGTTGGAATGCGCGTGCGACGACGCGCGCGTGCGCATGTCGCCCCACATTTGGCGAAAACGATTACATTGATGTTTGTTGATTAACGAATGCGTGCGCGCAATAGCTGTTGCAAAAGATGAGGGGGGCGACACCGGCCTGCCTGAAATGGTACGACTTCATATATAGGATAAACGATGTGGCCGTATCATGTGCAAATTGCAATACCAACAGGGGGGCTGTGCCTCCGGCTGGGGAGGGGCAGATTCCAAGACTCTTCTAGAAAGGAGAATCTCCAGGGCGGCGGCGAGGAGGCCCCTGGGCGGTGACGGCGGCCACATAGCCGCCAGACCGAAGGCACGGCCCAAACGACGGGCGGCGACGAGAAGGCGACGGGGCGGCGGCGGCGGCCGCATAGCCGCAAGACCAAAGACATAGCCCAGATGCCTAAAACAGAACAGCGAATCCCTGATTGCAAGCACTCTTTGGGGAATGGATGCAAATCCACATGCAAGTGCAGTCCCCTCGGACCGTGCCGCTGTATGATCATGCTGTGGCTCCTGCTCTCACTCCCGCTCCTGATCACCCAACGCAGTCGTCGCCACCGTCGTCGACAGCGTCGGCTTCGCAACCAGCTCCGTCGTCGCAGTCGTCGTCGCCGCCGCGGCCGTCGCCGCCGCCGTCGTCGTCGCCGTCATCGATGCTGTCGCCTCAGTCGTCGCGGTCGCCGTCGATGTTGCCGTTGCTGCTCCTCAGGACACTTGATCCTCAGGACTCCTGCTCTCCGTCCCCTTTTTCCTCCTCTACGGCTGTCAGCTCCAAGCGCGTCCTCGCCAAGCCTAGGGGCGAACCCAGCCGTGGAGACGGGAGCCACCCAGGAGACCCAGAGAGGGTTTGAGACAACGGGGCCCCGTCCCACATCCTGCACATTTGGACGCCCGAAATGGGTGCCGAAAAAATGGGTACTATGCCCAACAGCAAAAGTTGTCCCAAACCGACAGCGGCCGCTGTTGGGCGGGCGGCCTCCTGTCTCGAATGGACACAGGCCGCGGCGGCGTGGACAGCGAGTCCTGTTCAGAATGAACAAGAGCTGCTGTTGGGCATAGTACCCATTCTTTCAGTACCCATTTCGTGCGTGCAGAGCACAGCTCGGCTCAATCGCGCGCTGGCGCGGGGGGACGCTACGGCTGGGCGCCAGCGCCAGCACGAGCAGGCCCTCGCCGGCGCGGGCCATAGGGGGGGGGGGGGGCGAGACTGGCAAGGCGTGCTCCCACGCCCCACGCGGATCTAGGCGCCGCAGCAAAGATACCCGACGAGCGCTGTCGCCCCCTTTCGGACCGCCGGGCCCGCATGTATCGATCTGGCCCGGGAAAGGCCGCAGAGAGACCGGGTCGAGAGCTCCCGTCGCAATCTGTTCTGCGGCGGCGAATCTCGGGGATGCCTCCTTCCCCTCCTGTGCCAGCCTCCTGTGCCAGTGCAGTTTCGTGCTACTCAACTTTTCAACCTTGTCCTCTTTCGCCTCCTCCCCCTCCTCTCCTCCTCCTCCTCCTCCTCCTCCTCCTCCTCCTCCTTCTCCTCCTCCTCCTCCTCCTCCTCCTCCTCCTCCTCCTCCTCCTCCTCCTCCTCCTCCCCCCCCCTCCTTCTCCTCATCCCCCTCCTCCCCCTCCTCCCTCTTCCTCCTCCTCCTCCTTGTCCTCCACCTTCGCCACCTCCCTTTTCCTTCTCCTCTACGGCTGCTTCCCAACTGCACCTCATCCTAGCCTCCTCCCCCCCACGTTCCCTCCCCTCCCCCCGCTTCCCTTCTACTCCGTCTCCCATCCACCTTCCCTCTGTTGTCTCCCTTACGTATCCCCTCATACTCGCAGGCCTCCCGACGAGATCCCTTGAGGCCCGAAAGGGGCCAACGGTACCCAGGAACAGCCATGAAGGAAGCCAGTTCCCACCGCACGGAAGCGGGACCCTGGGGCTTTCCCCATGGGGCCAACATCTGCACCCTGAATGGTTGCGCCTTGTGCAGCCCCATCTACACCATGGGGCTTTCCCCCCGGGGCCAACAATGTTGCCCCAGGGCCCGAGAACAAACCCCGAGAAGCCGAAAACAGAGAGAAGCGCTCAGCTGAAAACCGGCCGGAGGTCTGAATTGGAACCCAGGTGAACCCCAGCGAGCGAGCGAGCGAGCATCAATGGTCCGACAAAGTGCCTCTAAGCAGTTGCAACGGCCAGAGCACCCGATCTGAAAGTCTGCGGACCAGGCGTTCAAGAACCACGCAAGGGGCTCGAATCTGTGGGGCACTGCAGGGGGACACCCCTGGCAAAAACGAGACCCCCATATGGTGAACCCCCAGCGGGGGAGGTGGAGGAGCCACGATCCCCAAACGCCGCCCCCGCGACTGCAACGGCGCCCGAAGTCTGGGAGAGCGGCCCCATTCCAAGGGGGGAAGGCGCCTTCCCAGGCTGCAGCCGGCCGCACACCTGAGCGCGGCAGCGCCGTGGAGGAAGGAAGAGAAGGGAGAGAGGGAGGAGAGGAGGGAGCGAGGGAGGAGGGAGGTAGGAGGAGGGAGCGAGGGATGAGAGGAGAGGAAATAAAAGAGCGTGGAGAAAAGGACGAGTGAGGACGAGGAGGACGAGGGGGAGGCGGAGAAGGACGGGGAGGACGAGGGGAGGGGACAGAATGAGGAGGAGGAGGAGCAGAACAAAGTGGAGGCGGAGGACGAGGAGGGGGAGGAGGACGACGACTCCAACGAGGAGGCCGAGGGAGGACGAGAAGGACCGAGTGGGAGGAGGTGCTGTATTGGGCGGGGATCCCGGGGATCCCGACTTGCGTGCTCCGGCTGGCATTCCGAGGGATGCCCAGCCGCGGCTCTAAAAGGGCGAAGAACACAAAAAAACTTGTCCTCGAACTCCTCGGTTTCCATCCTCCTTTCCTCCTCCTGTTCCTGCTGCGGCTGCTGCTCCTGCTCCTCCTCCTCATCCTCCTCCTCCTCCTCCTCCTCTTCGCTCCTCTTCGCTCCTCCCCCTACTGCTCTTCCTCCTCCTGTTGTTCCTCATCCTTCTCCTCCTCCTCCCTCTCTTCCTCCTCCTCCTCCTCCTCCTCCTCCTCCACCTCCTCCTCCTCCTCCTCCTCCTCTTCCTCCTTCTCCTCCTGCTCCTCCTCCTCCTCCCTCTCCTCGTCCTCCTCCTCCTCGTCCTCATGCTCTTGCTCTTGCTCTTGCTCCTCTCTCCTCCTCTCCTCCTCCTCCTCCTCCTCCTCCTCCTCCTCCTCCTCTCCTCCTCTCCTCCTCCTCCTCCTCCTCCTCCTCCTCCTCCTCCTCCTCCGCCTTCTGCTGCTCCTCCTCCTCCTCCTCCTCCTCCTTCTCACCCTCCTCCCTCCTCCTCCTCCTCCTCTCCTACGCCCTCCTCTCCTCATGCTTTTTCCTCCTCCTATTTCTCCTCCTCTTCCTCCTCCTCCTTCCATCCTCCTCCCTTCACCCTCCTCCTCCTCCTCCTCATCCTCTTTATCCTCCTCCTCTTCCTCATTCCTTGTAATCCCCGTCTTCCTCCTCCGCCTTCTGCTCCTCCTCCTCCTCCTCCTTCTCCTCCTCCTGCTCCTCTTCCTGTTCCGGTTCCTCCTCCTTTTCTTCCTCCTTCTCCTCCTCCTCTTCCTCCTCCTCCTCAAGTTTTGTTCCTCCCCTCTCCTTTTATCCTTCCCCTTTCCTCCTCGTTCCGCGCTTCCCTCTCCTCTCCTTCCTCCTCCATCCTCATAATCCTTATCGTAGTCCTTCATTTTTCTCCTGTGAGTGGCCAAAACACGGGTTGACCCGAATCCCACCAGCCCTCTGGGCGTCGGTGGTTTAGGGCGTTTCCTCTTCCACCCCTCCCTCTTCCCCTTCGGGGAGGGGTTTACCCCTCCCCCTACCCCCTCCCCACTGGGCGGGGAGCGGTCAAAGCGTCCAAGATGGCCCAGGACGGCTCCAAGAGGGCCTCAGAGAGCCCAAGATCGCCTCCAAGATGGCTCAAGATAGCGCAAGATGCCTGAAGATGGTTCAGAAGACGCTCCAACACGTTCCAAGACCGCTCCAAGATGGTTCCAAGTGCCCACAAGAGCATCATTAGAGTGCCCTCAAAAGGCCGAAATGCTTCAAAACCCTAGAGAAAATCAATGTTTTTGGTGTTCTCACTTTTTCGCTTCCGAAGCCCATCCGAGGCCTCAAGATGGCGCCAAGATGTCCCAACTGGGCCCCAACAGGGGCCCGAGAGAGCCTCAAGACTGCCTCAACAGCGTCCATGAGCGCTCCAAGAGCGATCCAAGAGGGGTCCAGGAAGCGATTTTAGACAGTCTGGAGGGGCAACGCTAATTAAAGCTCTGCTCTTCTTTGATATATTTGCTCCAAGATGCCCCCCAAGAGCGCCCCGATGGCGTCTAAAAGGACCCCACACGCCCAAAAACTGCTTCAAAATAAATTGACCCCACCCTCTTCTTTGATCGATCTCCTCCAAGATGGCCCCAAGAGGCGCCCAGGAGGCCCCAAGAGGCTTCCAAAAGGCCTACAAGAGGCCCCAAGAGGCCGCCATGAGGCCCCAAGAAGCCCCCAAGAGGCTCCAAGGGGATCCCAGGATGGTTCCAAGAGGCCTCCAAGGCTCCAAGAGGCCGCCATGAAGCCCCAAGAGACCTCCAAGAGACCTCCAAGAGGCCCCAAGAGGCCTCCAACAGGCCTCCAAGAGCCCCCCAAGAGGATCCCAAGCTGCCTCAAGAGGCCCCCCCCGAAGCACACAAGACGCCCAAGAGCCCCATTGACCGCCAAGAGACCCCCAAGACGTCCGAAGAGGTTTCCAAAAGGCTTCCAAGAGGCATCCGAGCGGCATTCAACCATCCACCCAGCGTCATCATTCTCCTCATCCCTCTTTCGCTCGGTTCCTCGCCATCCCCTCATCTATCCATCTGGCCTCCTCTTCCGCCTCATCCTTTGTCGGATCGGCTGTGCCTCTCGTTGCTCCCCCACTTCCCTGATCTCTTCAGCTTGCCTGGACATCGTTTCTGGATGGGCTGGTGGGGACACGCGAAGCGTCAAGAATTTGCAACTGACCATCCCTCCCTCCTCCCTCCTCCCTCCTCCACCTCCTCCTCCTCCTTCTCCTCCTCTTCCTCCTCTTCCTCTTCCTTTTCCTTCCACCCTCCTCCTCCCCCTTCCTGGCCCCCCCCCTTCCTCGCCCCCCCTTCTTCCTCATCCCTCCTCCGCGCGGCCTCGCCGAAATCCGAGGCCGCGGGCGCGGAAGAATGCCGCCGGGAAGGGTCTGGCGCGGCCGTGAGGAAGCCAGACAAGAAGAAGGAAGCAGCAAGAGGAGTAGGAGGACAACAACGAGAGCGAGGAGGACGAGAAAGACTGGGAGGATTGCGCGTACTCAAAGAGGACGAGACGAGGGCAAGCGGGCAAGACGTGCGACGAGGGCAATTTGTCCGCACGCGCCAGTCCACTGGAGCTGGCCTACTTCCAGAGCCATGTTTTGGCAACGCTCAACCCTTCAGCTATCGTGGCTGGGGTCGGCGTGGCGTGCTTCACTTTGTTGTGCAGATTGAAGGCCAGCGCTGTCCGCTGGATCGACCGCATCAACGAAAGGTCGCTGTCAGCGTCAGACGGATACGCGGCGGCGGGGCCCAAGCCACAGTTTGCAAATGTGTTGCGGAGCGGGGGAGAGTCGGGGGACCAGAGGAGGCTCAGGAAGCCAGGGCAGGAGAGGTAATGAGGGAATGAGTCGGGTGCTGCATGGCACCCAAACACGCACTGTTTCAGCTGGAGGACGTGCATGCGATGGGTGGTCGTCCATCCCCCAGCAAGCGTCTTATGAACCGCCCAGCGCCAGCTGGGCCGGACTTTGCGGAATTCACGGGTAAGAACAGACCAGCGCGCCGCGAGCTCTGGGGCTGATGGCGGACGATGTATGCCCCAGGCTGTAATGCGCTTCCCGGGAGTGACTGCGAACGGCGATGAAAAAAAAAGGCGCGCTGTGGCGCGAGCGCGACCACACGCCAGACCTTAGGGCGGCGCGGTGGCTCGGCGGCTGGGGCCCCACGGAACTCGCGGGCACCTGCGCGGTTTGCCGCGGCCACGGCAGCTGCAGAAAACGGGGCGGCACGCTTCCCGCAGGACAGGGCATGGTAGAATTGCACGATGGAAGTGTCCTCTTCCCAGAAGGGCGGGGACCACTGCCCGGCCTCCCACCGATGGAAGGAGTGAGCCGTGCTCTCCTGCCACGCGGTGTCTCGCAAACGCGCATGGGATGTCTCCCAGTCCCCGCGCAGCGTGTAGGTAGCAAAACGAATTGCGGCGGCGACGGCAGAAATCTGAGCAAATCGCGGGACAGGAGGCGGGCACCACTCCGCCATTGCGATGAGGTCTGCTTTGCGAAACGTGTTCGGCGGCAGGCTGAGCATGTTGTGAAAGATGTACTGTTCACGGCGAGCAATCTTCAGATCAAGCGGAAAGAGTTGTGAGACATAGCTGAGCTTCGAAACAACCGGTGCGTTGTGCAAGCGAACGGTGGCATCACTGCCACTCTGGACAAGCTGGAGAGAATTACCGCGCTGCCACCATTGCTGCCCGGGGGCGAGCCATTGCGAGGCGAGAGAGGCCGAGGGTCCGAGGAAGGTCCCGAGGTACCCGGCTCGCCCCGAAACCGAAAAGCCCGCCCAGGGGGGGCAGAAGTCGGCCACCAGGAGGGTCTTCGTTAGAGCTGTGGTGGCAGGCAGATGATGAGGATGAGGAGGATGACGACGAAGACGTGGACGACGACGACGACGAGGACGCAAAGAAGGATAACGGGGAGGACGACGAGGAGGACGAGGAGTTTTTTGATAGGAGCAGCCCGCGGCACAAGCATCAACCAGAGATCCGACCACCCCCACTACAAGAGGAGAGAGAGAGAGGTTGGGGGCGCAGGGGCACTGTGCCCACTGCACCCTCCTCCCCAGAAGGTGACACCGCATTTCGGTGGGAGGCCCTGCCTGAGACGTTGCAGAGTCGTATGCTGGGCCTTCAACAAGTCAAGTCGGCCATATTCGTCGGCCTCGCACACACTCGCAAGAAAACCAGGGTTCGGCAAGGACGCAAACCGTCCGCATTTTGCAAAAACGCAATATGAGCCTTTGTCCTTCAAGTCATGGGAGGGGTGAAGAATCTGACCCAGGAGTCCACGACCTTCGAGACGCCAGGGAGCACTCGACACAAACACCAATCTGAACAGCGCCCCATCCAATGGCGGAAGCCTGAAACATTTCTCGGACAAAAAAAAACAGCTCATGGCCTCCTCCTTCCGACTCCTACCGCCTCCACCTCCAAAACCCCGGCGGGTTTTCTCCCCCCAAGAATCGAGAAACTCGTGGGCAGCGGCTGGGGGGAGGGCGGGGTAGACAGAGCTGAGGTAGGCCACGGCGGATGGGCAGCTCGACAACACGAGCTTGCCGCACCTGAGACACCGCCAGCCAACTCGCGTGACCTTGAACGTATGGGAGGAAGCACGAGCAGCTGCCGAGCCGATCCGTCGGCCCCCCGCGGCAACGAACCGACGGCCGCGGCGCCGGAGGGCGCGCGCGGCGCCGAGGGAGGGGCCGCGCCTCCCGCAGCAGCGCCAGCGGCGCGTCGCAGCGGTCCAGCACGTTCAGCAGCAGCGCGCAGTCCTGTGAGTGTGAAGGGGCCCAGGGACACACAAACAAAGAATACCCCCAAGAGGCTCCCAAGAGGCCCCAAAGTTCCTCCCCAGAGGCCCCCGAAGGTCTTCCGAAGAGACCCATGAAGCATGCCTGGGGACTCTGGCCAACGTCAGCGTCGTCGTCGCCGCCGCCGTTGTCGTGCTCGTCGTTGTCCCCCTTCAGGGTGGGCTGCACCGGCCGTACGGCCTTCGCAATTAATGGGCACAAATCAAAAGGATTCCCCACATGTTCCATATTTCCTCGATGTTCGTCTTCGCCCCTCCACTTCCTATACTTTCGTGGGAAACGAAGAATATTTGTGTATGTGTGCTTTTTGCCCCCCCTGACTCTGCATCGACAGTACGATCAAGTAGGGGCCTCGCGCCGCATGGCCAAAGCATCCGCGACGTCGGCGATGCATCGGCGACGTCGGCGTGAAGAAAATTGGGCTCCACATCGAGCCGCCATCTGGTCTGGAGACAGTGGGGGGGGACGGGGGGAACAAAAGGAAGGTTAGGAGGTAACTCCCAGAAGGGCTTCGCAAAAACGACTCAAGGCTACTAAATCCAATTAAGGGGCTACGACGCCGGATTGGCCGCCATCAAGCCCGGGATTCATACGGATTGCGCGGGACCCGGGCGGATTGAGCGAGATTGTGCCGGATTGGGCCGCATTTCGACCACGGCTGTACCAGCGCCGATGCTGGATTCAACCTTCCGGGAGTTGCATCCTGAGGAAGGGGAACGATCCTCACACACCTTCCCGTCGCAGAAAACTCATCACGGGAGGCTTTTGGCAGTCTTCGGCCTCCTGGGGGTCCTCGCGGGGCCCGGGGATCATCAACAACTGCTCGCGACGAAAAGCAGGTCCTCGGGAAGGGGACCAGACTTCTGGGGGCAGCCACGCTGCAACAAAAAACACGACGTCGGATGTCCGGCATGGGGAGACTGGCCGAGCGGAGGTGAACACTGATTTAGAATCGGCAATACGCGATACGGCTTCCTCGCGAAGGCCAGAAAACAGATGCTTAAGTTTTCTTCTTCAATGAATGACCTGGGCCCGAAACGGGCCTCCGAGGGCCCAAGCAGCGGAGACCTGGCCTGGGGTGATGAGTTAAGAGGATTTGGAGCAGAATCCAGCCGTGGTAACGAGAAGCACCCCTGAGGCGCCCCCCCCACACACAACAGAAAAAGCACGATCTTCAATCTTCGTGGAGCGTGGGGGGCGGCGGCCACACGTCGAGGGCCCCTCCTGAGCCACAAGCGGCCCTGACTCTCAGCGCCCCGACTGGGAGTCGAAGCGGATCGATCCGAACGCATGGGGCCCGAGTAGATGGGGTCGGATGCATCATGCCTCGCCGACGCATCATGCCTCGCGGATGCATCGCCGATGCGCCGGCGACGCGCTGGCGGCGTCGGCGATGCATCTGCGCCATCGGCTCGGAGAAAATCGGGCTCCGCGCCGAGCCGCGTCGCCGATGCATCGGCGATGCGGCGCGATCCTCTGACCCCATCTGCTCGGACCCCATCTGGGAGGCCTGGATAATCGGCATCGAATTTGTTCGAATCGGCACCCGCGGAGATCGAAACGAAGTGAATCGCACGGATTTCTTGGATCTGCCTGCGCTGGCCCCCTCCCTGGCGCGCGGAGCGTGCCAGGGGCGGCGCCAGAGGCGCCGCCAGGGGGGAACCCAGCGCCGATCCAAAAAATCCGAGCGGAGGACCGAAAATTTAGGTCTTTGACGGCTTTTCGTTCTTTTGAGCAGGGACCGACCGTCCCGGCATTCTTATAGGCATACCACGAAATGTTCTTAGAACCCAAAGATGCTCTAAGAACAAAACAATGTTCTTAGAGCATAAACCCGATGCCTTAAAACAAAACAGACTCCGCCAGAAATGTTCTAAGAACATTTCGCGGAGACCACAAAAAGTTCTTAGAACATGGTTTGGTGGGGCTATAGGCGAGCCAAGACGCTTCGCCACTGCTTGATTCTTCTTCGAGAACCGGCCTCGCATCTGCACCCACGATAACCGAATCGCAGCGGACAAAACGACGCCAACAGACGCCCTGCAGCGGCGACGCGCGCTGCGCCGCGCCGCGGACGCTGCGCGAAAGGGCCGACGATGCTCCAAGCTGGCCCCGCCTCTCTGGCGCTGGCCTCGCCGAGAAAACCGCACACGCCCCAGCGATGCTGAGGGGGCCCCAGCACACACAAATAAATACACACAAATCAAAATATTCCCCATATTGGCCCATATTTTCTGAGTTTCTGTCTTCCCCCCCACTTCCCATATGTTCCCATATTTTCTGAGGCATCGAAGATTGATTATGTCTGTCGAGGTTCCGGCCGGCGCCCACGAAAAACCGCACCGACGCGGACCGGTCGACTCCGACTGCGCCCTGCAGCGCGCCAGGCGCGGCGGCTCGCGGACGCCCGCCTGGCAGGCCGCGGCGGGCCAGCGACGACGACGACGACGACGCGTGGCGTCCACGGAGCCGCCCGGGCCGAGCGCGACGCCCGCCGCGGCCGCCGCCGCGTCGAAGGCCGGCGGCGCCAGGCCAGCCGCGGCGCGCAGCGCCGGCAAGCCGCGGGCACGCAGGCACCACAGGGCGGGCAGGCTGACCTGGCCAGCGGCGGCGGCGGCGGCGACGACGAGGACGAGGACGAGGACGAGGACGACGAGGACGAGGACGAGGACGAGGCTGAGGACGAGGACGAGGACGAGGACGACGACGACCATCACCACCACGACGGCAACCGCGTCCGCGCCCATGCGGCATGGCCGTCGGCGGCGACGGCGGCCTTTGAGATCCTGGTGTTGCATTTTTGTTATCACAGCAACCGTTTTCGCCAGCGACGACGACGACGACGACAACGACGTGTGAACCCGCAGGACACCACTCCGCTGGACCTCCCCGAGGCCCACGAAAATGCAACCAGCTGCGCGGCTGGCATTGCCTGGGAAGGCGGGGTCTGGGCAAGATCCACGTAGGACACCACTCCGATGGACCTCCCAAGAGCTCCCGAAACTGGCGAGAGGTCCACTGCTGGCAATACAAGAGGCGGGTGTCCCATGTGGATCTGCGTAGGACAGCGACCTCCCAGGACCTCGCGACAGTAGGGACGGTTGCGCAGTCGGGAGCACACATGGAGAAGCGAGATCTTCGTAGAATCTGCGTATGACGCCGCTCCGCTAGACCTCCCGGGGGCTCACGGAAATACCAAGAGTTGCGCGGTTGGCAGGCGATGAGGATTTTTCGCAGGACCCAGCTCCGCTGGACCTCCCATGGGCTCGCGAAAGAAATCAACAGCTGCACGGCTGGGAGCAACCAGGGGAGGCGAGGTATTAGCAGAATCTGCGGAGGACACCACTCTGCTGGACCTCCCTGCGGAAAACGAAAGTACCAACAGTTGCACGGCTGGCAGTGCCCAAGAAGGCAAGGTCTCAGTACGACGGCTGCGGAGGGAACCGCTTCGCTGGACCTCCCAGGCGCTCGCGAAAATACCAAGAGTTGCGCGGCTGGCAGTGCCCAGGACGGCGAGGTGGAGTTAGTAGGATCTGTGTAGAACGCCACTTCGCTGGACCTTTCATGGGCTTACGAAGGTAGCGCCAGTTGCGCGGTTGGCAGCGAGAAGGGGAGGCGAGGTCTCGTCTGGGTCCCCGTGGGGCGTCGCCCCGCTGGGGCTTTCAATGGCATCACTAGTGTGGCGACACATGCGCACTCCGCAGCACCAAGGGAGGCGAGGTCCATTTGCATCTGCGCTGGACACCACTCCACTGGACCTCCCAGGAGCTCCCGAAAGAGGTGGCAATTCCACAGCTGGCAGCACACAAGCAAGGAGGTGCGGTCCAGAGTGGACCCGCGCAGGACACCACTTCGCTTGACCTAACCAGGTCTGAGCTGAACATGTTCGCGAACATTGATAAGATCGGAAATGGGCCGCATCGCCAACGAATCGTCCCGAATATAATCGAAATCGGATCGCCGCGCATGGCTCTGGATGGCCCTGGCCGCTGACGGTGAATCAAGCCGAGTCGAGCCGACTCCGAAATGCGGCACCAGCCAGCGAATCGAATGGCGTCGGATCGCATCGCAGGCGGCCGCGCGTAGGACACCACTCCACTGGACCTTCCGAGCGCTCATGAGAGTACCAACAGTTGCGCATCACCCAGGGAGCCAAGGTCTAGTTTCGACCAAGGTGGCCCCGCGCTCCGCTGGGCCTCCAGGAGTTCTCGAAAGTGCCGACATGACATGGCAGCACCAAGGGAGGGCGATGTCTCGTTAGGTCCTTTCGTATAGGGCGTCATTCCGCTTGAACCCTCAGAAGCTAACAAAAGGGGCGTACAGTTGGCAGCAGGAGGTAAGGTGGGATGCAGCCCTCATCGAGAATTTCTGGTATACCACACCCTCCCCGCCCCAGGCAGATTCCAACGCCCGGGGCAACGATCAGTGTGCAAGCACCACGCCCCAGAGAGGGAGCTTCGCAGACCAAACACACGATCAGGACCCTCCCGAGCTTTTGGGTGTAGGAGATGCAGGACCGGGAGGGCGGAGGCAGGAGGAGAGCGAGCAAGCGAGCGAGGCGAGCGAGCGATGCGCCGTTCCAGGAACATGCGGCGCGGCGGCCGTGCCCGTGACCGTTCGGGCAGGGCGCGCGGGGCCGTGGCCTCGCCGAAAAGATGCAGAACCAGAGCGGTTGCGCCACTGCCCGCAACCAGCGGGCGTCGCTGATGTCGTAGTGCGGGCAGTCTCGCAGTCGCGTGACGTCGGGGGTGCTGTGAGTTGTGCCGTTGCCGGTGTCTGGGCCCATGCCGTACCCAAAACATCCGTATGTCGTCGCGCCACCGTCTCTGCGGTCTGCCACGGTGTCTGCAACCCTGTTGCTTGATGCTCTGGTTAGGGTCCCAGCTCAGCGCTCTTCGTATCCGGCGCTCCGCCAGATACATGGCTAGATGTGCCTGTGCAGACCATCGAGGCACCATCTCTGTAAATTTGCACGATACCTGGAAAAAGGTGTCCTCGCATCAACTCTTTTGCCCTGCAAGTGATCGTAAGGAAAAAATCAGACTGGCATGAAGTTCGTGTTGTTTGTGTCGGTTGTCCAGGGATTGTTGGATCTCCTCGTCATTGTCGTCGTGCGTGCTGGCGTGACCGGATTGGGCATAGGGGCTACTGCACGCGTCACACTCGTTGGAGACATCGAATAAAAAAAAAACTGGGATGGGTCGCTGCTATTGATGTTCGTGTCGGTGGTGCTGTTTGTCGGCTGCTTTGCCTTCGTGTGCCTCCGGGCTGTGCCGGTATCTATTCAAACAACTCGCCCTGGTAGTCTACGTAGCTGCTGTGCGAGTGGTTCAGTCAATGTCTACGCTGCCGCGCCGTACACTGGTGTTTGCATCGCCTTGCCCTGGAGAAGTCGTGGTCAGTGTTTCGGTGGGCAATGTCTGTTGGTGAACTCTGTTCTGTGGATCGTGAAGCCTGCGCGCGCAGCCTGGATGCGTCGCAGGATCTCGGTGGCAGAGGCGTCGTGAGACGTAGCGTGTTGCCCCAAATGTTTGATTGTGCTGTTACGGGGTGATATGTTAAGGTTCATCCCAGGAGCTGGCTGTGTTTGTGCCCGTCCAGGTTCGGGGCTTGTTGCCCATGGTGTTCGTCTTGTCTGGGTGAACTCCCAGACCGTTGGGTTTGGCTGCTGCGGTAGCATCAGTGGACATTGACTTGAGCTTCGGCAGGGACTGGGTCAAGAGTACCATGCCGTCCCAAAGCCCAAGGATTGTGGGGACAAAGGCCTGTCTTCCAGCGAACCTCTGGTGTTGCCACGTGGGGATGGGCGGTTATAGGGTGTATTGTAGGAGGGTGTTGACATGCAGCGAGCTGGAGGAGTCTCGTCTCCCGTACTCTGCGTCGGTTGGAGCTCGAAGGGCGTGCTGCGACTGCTGCGAAACGCGGCTGACTGGTCGCAGCACAAGCGCTGGAGTGTGCCGATGCACTCGAGGACAAACCCTAGGAGTCGGAGCGCCGCCCAGATCTACTGCGCGTTCGCTCGGGGTGTCGAGAAAACACAGGTGGCCGCGCATGCCGCGGCCCGTCGGTTGCAGTCTGCTCTGCATGTGTCTGGTGGATAGCTTGTATGACATTGAGGTTATGCAAATCGGACGCGGGTCATGCGGCAGGGTCGAATCAGCTGTTCGCTTTCCTCCATGAGGCGGGAGGATAGAAAAATATCATCGCCCTACTCTAAACAAGCACCTACCACAGGAGGTCTGGAACAACACGTAAGAAACAGGCCCAGAACCAAGAGATGCACGGGACTCTTGCATGAACAGACAATTCCTCCAGGCACGCTTCGACTCTACTCGATGCTTCGCATCATGAACAAATCAAGATCGTCATCACCAGCACCATCATCACCATCAGCATCGTCATCACCAGCATCACCAGAATCATCATCAGCGTCAACTGCATCTCCCTCCTCATCATCAGCATCAGCATCAGCATCAGCATCAGCATCAGCATCAGCATCATCATCATCATCATCATCACCATCACCATCATCATCATCATCATCATCATCATCATCATCATCATCATCATCATCATCATCATCATCTTCATCTTCATCTTCATCTTCATCATCATCGTCATCATCACCGTAGTTATCGACATCATCATCCTCAGCCTGATCATCATCCTCACCCTCATCCCCACACTCATGATCGTCATCTTCACAATCAGCACCACCACCACCATCACCATCAGCATCATCATCAGCATCAGCATCGTCATCATCAGAACCATCATCATCAGCAGCAGCATCATCAGCATAATCATTGCCATCCTTGTTATCATCGTCGTCGTCTTCGTCGTCGTCAGCAGCAGCATCATCACCACCACCAGCAGAGGCAGCATCATCCACCTGGTGCTGCTGCTCCAGCTCTCCCTCCCTCCCCCCCTCCTGTACAGGAGCATCGGAGGAGGGCCAAGTCGAGGCAACGGAGGCTCTGCCGCCTGGCCCGAGTCCGCTCAAAATCACCTCCCCGGACATCGGGAGCGGCCAAGAGGGGGGTGTCCAAGAGGGGTGTGTGCGAATCATGACCGGCGGCATGTGCGCGGCCCAGCGGGGGGGCCAGGGACGTAATGAAATAAGAAGAGGCGCCATGAGATCTGGGGAGATATCATGGCCCCCGCCATGATATCCACCCCCCCTAGTCATCACCCCCCTTCTTTCCGCCCCCGAGGACACCTCCCCGGGTCCACCCTGCCCCGTCCATCGAGGCAGACCCGGCCATGTTGGCGAGACGCCGCCGGGAGGCACAGAGAAAGAGCGAGAACCGCCAGGGAGGGCCGCCGCTGTTTCGCCGCTCGGCCCGCCCCGATCCGCCTGCCTCCGGGCAGTAACTCGAGGCTCAGGTGCCCGTTCGGCACGTTCCCGCCATTCCTGAAACGCCCGTGGCGAGGCGCAGGTGATGGCAATCCTCCCCGGCCCCGGAAAGCGCCGATAAGCATACCAAAAGTTCAGAAAACCTCCTCCTCCTCCACCTCCTCCTCCTCCTCCTCCACCTCCTGCTCCTCTCCTCCTCCTCCTCTCTTCCTCCTCATCATTCTCCTCCTCCTCCGAGATCCTTCCGAGAACCTTCCGAATACACCAGAAAACCGTCCGAAAACCTCAGAAGGGGGGGTGGGGGAGGGGGGGCAGGGAGCCTCGCGCGGAGGCCGCGACGAGCGGCAGGGTCGAGCCTCGGTCGCCAGGGCGTCATCGAACAGCGGCAGGAACTGGGACGTGACCTCGCCGTCGTCGGTCGGCCGATCGCAGGGTCGGCCGGGCAGGGTCGTCGGCGCTGGGAGGAAGGAGGGAGGAGGAGGAGGAGGAGTGCACTGGCCAGAGGGGCGGCAAGGTGTATGAACAGACCGACCCAGCTACACTACCGAAGGAATCCCGAAGTCCATCTCGAAGACAAGCCCAGCAGCAAGAAGCATTAGACACATGCTGACAAGTGCACAACATATAAGATACACCCTGGGAGCACGTCAATGAGACGAAGTAGTAAACTTTGCACGGGGAGCGCACACCTGAGCAAACGAGCATTCTGCGAAGTAGGAGCAGCGCGTGAACGAGAGAAGGAGAGGGAGATTGAGTAAGACGAGGGACTCAGGAGGACGAGAAGGAGGAGGAGGAGGAGGTGGAAGGAAGGATGCGGAGCAGCAAGAGTGAGGGGGTGGGAGGAGGAGTGAGGAAGAAGGAGGTCAGACGGAAGAGTAGGGGGGAGGAGGAGGAGGAGGAGGAGGAGGAGGAGGGATCAAGACAGAAGGAAGGAGGATGGAGGTGGCAGGAGGGAGTGGGATGAGCGAGGAGGAGGGGGATACAAGGAGAAGAGATGCGACAGGAGGGAGCAGGAAGGAGAGGGAGAAAAGAGGGAGGAGGGCAAAGCCGAGAAGGAAACAAACAGAGAAGTTGTTTGCAGTCCCCGCCTCCTCCTCCTCCTCCTCCTCTTTATCCTCCCGCCCGTCCTCACACTGGCTATGCTCTTGGCCATTCTCCTCCGAATGTTCCTCCTCCTCCTCCTCCTCCTCCTCCTCCTCCTCCTCAAGCGTTCCTTCCGCCTCCTCCTCCTGCTATTCCTCCTCATCCGTATCTTGCTGCTGCTCCTCCTCCTCCACCTCCGCCTTCTCATCCTCCCCCTGCTCCTCCTCGCCCTCCTTCTCCTCCTCTGCTCCTCCTCCCTCTCCTCCTCCTCCTCCTCCTCCTCCTCCTCCTCCTCCTCCTCCTCCTCCTCCTCCTCCTCCTCGTCATGCCCCTGGCCCTGCACGAAGGAACGAACGCGAAAATGAAGGGGAAGAGAGGAGTAAGAGGAGAAGGAGGAGGAAGAGGAGCGCAAACAATATGAAGCGCAGCCGTTGCCGGAGGGGGGAGGAGGAAGAGGAGGAGGACCAAAGCAAATCAAATATTCATCAACGATCCTGCAATCAACCCTCCCTCCAAATTCCCTCTCCATGGGCCCCTACAATTGGAAGACAACCGTTGAACTCCTGAACCGCACCAGGACACCATTCCCTGGACTTTAACGACGCGAATCCACGTTACTGTCGCGCCCCGACGATCCGCAATTAAGCAAGAATCCAACTCCTGGGACTTCAACACCGCAAATCAACGCAACTGTTTCGCCATGACAATCCTACATCGTGGCCTGCCGAAAACTATGCTGAGCCCTCTCTCCGAGGGCAGGGGCGGCTGCTCAGAATTGAGCAGGGACCGACCGTCCCGGCATTCCTATAGTCCTACCACGAAATGTTCTTAGAACCCAAAAATGTTGTAATCACAAAAACAATGTTCTTTGAACATCAACCCGATGTGATAAAACAAAACAGACTCCGCCAGAAATGTTCTAAGAACATTTCGTGGAATCCACAAAAGGTTTTTGGAACATTGTTTGGTGGGGCTATAGGCGAGCCGGGACTCTTCGCCACCGCTTCACAGAAGGCCTGAGGTTTTCTGAGAGGCACCGCCGCCGTCTGATAAGGCCTGCCCCCTCTCACCCCAGGGGGCGCGAGACGGGCGGAAGCTTCCGTGATTGATTACTTCTTCGGGGCGGCGGTCCATCTGAGCGCCATTCGGCGCTACTGGGCGCCATTGGGCGCTATCTGGCGCGACCCGCCGGCATACATTCCAGCAGAGGCGAGCGGAAGCTCCCGCAATTTAGTATCTGAGTGGCTGGGGGCCATCTCAGCGCCAAGTCGGCGCTACTTGGCGCCATCGGGTGCCATTTGGCACTGTTGAACGCTACAGCCGAAAATCCGCCGACCTTGTCGGTGTGTGGAATGCGTTATTCGTCGTGGTTGTTGTCCTCGTACGTGCTCGTCGTCTTCTTTTCTGGGTCCGTCGCCGCTCCCCCACTCTTTCCCTGGGCCCTCGTCCTCAAGCGCGCCAGCCAAAGCGAAATGAAGCAACCCAGCCAAAGCGAAATTAACAACGTTGCCATCGAATCGAAGGGAAGCCCCTTCTCTTTGATCCCTTCCCCGCCGGTGGGGGAGGGTCCCGGGGGGGGGTCCTGGAGGGGGATCCCAGGTCAAAATACCATCCCCCGCTTGCGGCTTTTACAGAGGGCCCCCCTGCAGATGCGCTGGAGGAGGGGTCGTCACGACGGATCTGCAAGAGCGCCCCTAGACGGCCCAAGCCCCACAAGACAGCCCAAGAACGCCTAAGGACGGCCAAAGGACAGCCAAAGGGGGTCTTCAGACGGGTCAAAAGATCCCCACAAAGACTCCCAAGAAGGCCCGGAGAGGCCATATTCATTGATTTTCGGAAAGGTTTTGTCCCCGTCCTCTCCCTCCCATTTCCGTCGAGAGCCGAGGCCTCCATAATTGGTTGCTCCTACTCGCTTCCTCTCGCTGCTCCCCCACTCCTCCTCCTCCTCCTCCTCCTCCTCCTCCTCCTCCTCCTCCTCCTCCTCCTCCTCCTCCTCCTTCCCCCCCTCCTCCTCCCTCATCCGCCTCCTCCACCCTTCCTTTCCCCCCCCCCCACTCCTCCTTCTCCTCCGCCTCGTACCTCCCCCGCTCGTTTTCATCTTCGTCGTCTTCAGGGTCGGCGGCACCGGCCGTGAGGCCTTTGCAATATGATTCAGAAACTTTTCACTTCACAAATCCGGGCCAGCCTGCCGAAGTTTCTCAAAGCAGACCTGGGACGATTTCTGTTGCTAATGCTGGAGGGCGGACACGCTCAAGAAATTCAGCCACAAGTTGGGTAAGAGACGCTGCCCCAGCTTCTCGGGAGGAAATGTCTTAATCAGATGCTCGACTGCATTGGGACGCGATCCGCCGATACGCGATTTGCCGTCCAGCGAAGCCCAGTGGCACAGGAGGACACAGAGGAGGAGGAGGAGGAGGAGGAAGAGGAGGAGGAGGAGGAGGACGAGAGTCAGGAGGAACCGGAAGAAAAAACCCAGCCCCCTGAGAGAGGCGAGAACGAATTCGTATTGGCTTGTCTGGCGGGCCTGGGGGCTCCTGTGGCCGGCGGCGAACCGCCGGCACACATTCCATCAAAGGCGAGCGGAGGCTTCCGAGGAGGAGGAGGAGGAGGAGGAGGAGGAAAACAGGGGGTGGAGGAGGAGAAAAAAGCGGGAGGAGGAGCAGGAGGAGGAGGAGGAGGAGGAGGAGGAGCAGGAGGAGGAGGAGGGGGACGGCATGTACTACCTGAGGGGCGGGGGCGTGCCTCGCCGCACCCCGCCCCCACTGCGTGCTTCGTCACGCCCCTGATCCGGGCAGCTGGCCCGGGCAGTGTCTCTGGACGTCGGCGGCGAGCCCATGGGGGGCCCGAGCCTGGGCAGGACTCAGGACGACGGCCGAGGCCGACTCCGAAGACGACTTCTCTCAGGGGGGTCCCTGCCGCGGGCCCCCGCGGCGGGGACGGAACCCATCTCGGGGGTCGACAGACGTCCCTGCGATGGGCACCCCCTGGGCTCTCTCGCTCTCTCGGCGGCCAGCCCGGGGAGGAGTGAGAGGGGGCGGGCCTTCTCAGAAGGCCTGGAAGTCCCCCGGCCTTCTGCAAAGTTTTCGGCACCTTCCCCGAAGACGCAGAAGACTTCTCGAACGGCGCCTAGAGCTTCTGAGAAGCCCCGCCGCCTTCTGAGCGGGCCATCTCCTTCTCACTTCACCACCTCGCTCGCCGCCGAGGATGGGCTGGTGGGGCTACAGCAGGACCTAGCACAGACGAACATCCCTCAAGAACATGACACCCTCCGCTGGCAAAGCGGAAGAACTTTCGGGGGTGCCCTCCCAAAGGATGCACAAGAACATCCAACAAACACGAACACATCAGGGCACCCTCCCCGAACCGACCTCGATCGCATACCTCGGTCCGACCGTACGCGCAGCTTCTAGAGAGCGTTCGCCCCACCCCGTGGCCGGCTCCGTGGCCGCCCTCCTAGTCTCGCAGTCGCCGGGGCCTCCGTCCACTTTCTGCCCCTGCCCTCGAGCAGCAGGAGGAGGAGGAGGAGGAGGGAGGAGGAGAAGGAGGAGGAGAAGCAGGAAGGAAGAGGGCGGCGGAGGAGGAGGAGGAAGAACAGGAGGTGGAGGAGGAGAAAAAGCAGGAGGAGGAGCAGGAGGAGGAGGAGGAGGAGGAGGAGGAAGAGGAGGGAGGAGGATGATGAGGAGGAGGAGGAGGATGAGAAGCAGGAGGAGGAGGGAGGAGGAGGAGGAGGAGGAGGAGGAGGAGGAGGAGGAGGACGAGGAGGAGGACGAGGAGGAGGAGGAGGAGGAGGAGGAGGAGGAGGGCCTCGCCGCATCCCGCCCCGACGTCCAGCAGCAGGCCGCCGGGCCTGCGGCCCCCCAGCAGCCTTCTGGCGGCGGTGCTCGCCCTCTCCGCCGCCGCGCTTTGCCGCCGACCGCCGCGGCCGTCGGCGTCGCCAGAGGGGCATCATGAAGCCAAGACGAGGACAACATCGGGTGAGTATAAACCGCAGGATTCGGCGGCGCCGTTGTCTTCTCGGAGCGATCTGGAAAGCCCTGGGAGCGTTCCGGAACGCTCTGGAACGGAGTTGTCCTCGTCCTGGCCCCGCCCGAAAAGGGGCACAGAGACACAAAAGCACAGAACTCGGCACACATCCCGGGGTTCCGCGTGGTTCCCCGTGTCTCCCGGATTTTCTTTTCTTCCGCCTCTCCATGTCCCATGTTTTCGAACATTTTCGCATGTCTCATTGAGATAACCATTTGTCTGTGTTTTGGGCCTGTGTTCTCTTCCTGAGGCGTCACCGGCGCCGTGGCCGAGGGCTGGATCCGACGCGACCCTCGGGGTCGAGGCCCGAGGCTTCTGCACGTCCATGGGCCTCTCTTCGGGGCCTCCTGCGGCGCCCTTGTGGTCACTTGAGGTCCTGGTCGAAGCGCGCCCCAGGACAGGTCGGGGGGTCCGTCGGTCGGTCGGTGTTCGGTGGTGGTCGTCGTCGTCGCCGTCGTCTTCGTCGTTGCTGGTGTTGTCGATGATGCCGGATCGGTCGTCGTCGGTGGTGGTGGTCGTCGTCGGCGCTGTCGTCGACGTCGTCGCTGTTGTCGTCGATGTTGCCAGGTCTATGGTCGGTGGTCGTTGTCGGCGAGTGTCGTCGCTGTTGTCACTGTTGTCCTCGATGTTGCGGTTGCCGCCGCCGCCGTCGTCGTCGTTTCCGTCGTGGGGCAGGAGGGAAGGATGGAGAGGGAAACGGCGGAGAAGGACGATAATTATGATGATGAGAAACGTACGGTCAAATCGCCACATATAGCGTGCACGACCCCCCTTGAGGGACAGAAAAAATACTCACCGACCGTGCACCTTGTCCACGTTGTCCACCGACAAAAACGTGCGTGCAAGCTGTAAGTGTCTATGTTGCAAGCGGACGTACACGCTAAACGATTTCACGTTGGCGATATGTTTACATTGCTACTTTTCCTGGACGTGCATGAATAGCGTCCTCGTCAGGGAGTACCCTATACGATTCCGACTCTTCGCCTCACATCTCCACTCCGTCCCCTACCCCCCCCCCCTCATCCGAGCGAGGAGGAGGAGGATGAGGAGGAGGAGGAGGGGGGGAGAAGGAGGAGGAGGAGGAGGAGGACGAGGGGGAGGGGGTGGAGGAGGGGGGAGGGGAAGAGGAAGAGGAGGAGGAGGAGGAGGAGAAGGAAGAGGAGGAGAAAGAGGGGGAGGATGAGAAGGAAGGGGAGGCGGAGAAGGAAGAGGAGGAGGAGGCAGAAGTGGCTCGGGTCTGCGGAGTCCGAAAGGCCGAGTGTGGTTCCAGGAACTGCTGAACTGTCTGAAAACACAAGTGCACTCTAAATGTTTGTTTGGCTGAGACATCCGACGTGCACGCTAAACGTCTTTGTCTCAGCCATCGGAAGTGCACGCTAAGCGCTGCACAACCGCGTCTAGAGTGCACCCCTCCTACGACGTGCACTCAGCACGACCCCCGAATAGCGTGCACATCAAAGTCACCACGTGCACGCTATATGTGGCGTTTGGACCGTGCACATCCCAACACCGAATCCATCACAGACTCCAAGAATCCACGCAGACATTCGAAAGCTTATGAATGTGCAACGTTTCTTCTAACAAACAAAAATTGGAGGGGGACTCATTGAAGCCGTCGTACGCGATAGGGGGCCTACAATCAAGGATATGATCCCTACTGCTGGTGGGCTGTTCTCCTCAGAGAATGGCCACCTGCTGTTGCGGGGACAGGATAGGGAACCCTTGGATAAAGAAACCAGGGTCTGGAAGCAAGCGGGACTCCAGTAGTGGATTGACCATGCATATCACCGCCACCTTCATCCAATGACAAATTCGAAGGCTCCTGGGCACATTCCTTCACCAACACCACCACCGTACCCTTTACAAGCCCTTGTGATGTAGCATGATGTGCCGAGAGCCCCCTTTAAGCAGGGACCGACCGTCCCGGTATTCCTACAGGCCCACCACAAAAATGTTCTCAGAACAAAAGGTTGCTCGAAACACAAAACACATGTTCTAATGCTCTGAGAACATAAAACCGACGTATTAACGCAAGACGGTCTTAGCCAGAAATGTTCTAAGAATTTCTTGCGCAAACCACAACAGGTTCTTGAAAAATTATTTGGTGGGCCTATATGCCTATATGCAAGCCAACACGTTTCGCCACTGCGTGGCCCCCTGCTACTACGCCTGCTCCAAGAGTGGGGCTAAGGACGTGGCGTGGCGGCGAGGTCTCCAGGGAGCTTGGGGAGGGGAGCGGAGGCAGAAGAGGAGAGAGAGAGAGAGAGGAAATGGAGGAGGGCGGAGATAGCGGTAGAGGGCACGGAAGAGGACGGTCAAAGGAAGCAGGAGGGTAAGGGTCATGAGGGCGAGGAGTAGGGGGAAAGTGTACAGGACGACGACGACGAGGCCGGCCGTTGACCCGACGCGGGCCTGCGCACCTGAGCTGTGCTCGGCCCGAGGGGAGGCGCCGCAGGGACCACCCCTCCAATTTGGGGAAGCGTTGGGGGGACAGGCTCGGGGGGAGTCATCATCACCATCATTATCATCATCATCATCATCATCATCAGCAGCAGCAGCAGCAGCAGCAGCATCAGCAACATCGTCATCATCATCATCATAATCATCAGCATCACCATCATCCACCTCAACAGAGGATTTAACATCATCAGCATCATCATCACCACCATCATCGTCGTCGTCAAAGTCATGATCATCATCACCATAATCAGCATCAGCATCACCACCAGCAGCAGCATCATAGTCAGCATCACCAGCATCATGACAGTAGTCGTCAGCTTCCTCACCATCATCACCATCATGACCATCACCATCACCCGAATGATCATTATCACAAGCATCAACATCTTCAACATCATCGGTCTCGTCATCTGCATCGTCCTCGTCACCGTCATTATTATCATCATCATCATCATCATCATCATCATCATCACAAGTATCAGCATGAACGTCATCACCTAACTTAGCATCATAGTCATTAGTATCAGCATCACCATCGCCATTAGCTGCGTCACCACAATTATCAGCTGGATCTGAATCATATTCATGAAATCCATCACCAGTATAATCACCAACATCATCATTATAGGCGTCGTCACCATCGTCATCCTGATCGTCACCGCTATCACCATCATCATCCACAACCCCTCTCTCCTCATCACCGTTGACATCATCAGCATCATCCTCAGTCCCATCACCCGCAGCAGCAACGTAAGCATCAGAACCATCCACATCACCCACACCATCAACAGTCGCAGCATCATCAGCGTCAGCACCTTCATAACCGAGCCGTCGTCACCATCCTGATCGTCATCATCACTAGCATCGTCGTCATCATCATCACAGCCACCATCGCACACACTAGCATCATCATTCTCACCATCATCAGCATCATCCCCACCATTAACATCAAAATCGCTAGCCACTGCATCCTCGTCAACAGCAGCATCATCAACATCACCACCATCATCGTCGTAATCAGTATCCTCCCAATCCTCAGCCGACTTCTCCTTCTAATCATCATCAGCATCATCAGCATCAGCAACATCATCATCCACAGCATCATTATCCTCGCCTTCGTCACCATGATCAGCATCATCATCATCATCATCAGCCGCATCATCCTCGTCAACAACAGCATCGTCATCATCAGCATCGGCATCCTCATCATCATCATCATCATCATCACAGTCATCGACATCACTATCGTCATCACCAACATCATCAGGATTATCAGCATGGCCATCGTTACCACCCAACCACGAATCATCACCAACGCCATCGCCACCATCGTCAACAACAACATCATCATCGCCGTGAGTTGCATCAATTTCGGCAGGAGCAGCAGCATCGTCATCATCACCATCATCGTCGTCATCATGATCCTCAACCTCCTCCCCTTCATCACTATTGTTATCGTTCTCAGAATATCATCATTATCACAATTTGGCCCTGTCCTGTTGTCCACCTCGTCGTGTGGTGGCCCAGGGGAGGGGGCCGAGGAACTGCGGAGAATGACGAGACTGATGTCATGGTGATAGCGGCTCAGGATACGATCCGGGAATTCCAGAGTATCCAGCGGACCTCGTTGCTGGACCCCGTGCGAAATTCGAAAGTCTGGGAAAACCATTAAAGATTGGGTTATCGTGAGTTCTTGCTCTTTGGAGTCCTCGGGCCGCAATTTTCAATGAGGATCCCTGCGCATCAGGCCTCGGGGCCTGCGCAGACATGACGTGCGCCTCGCCCCCCTCGGAACGGGGGGGGGTGTTCTGGGCCCCTGGTACAGGGTAACGTTTGGGCGGGGTGGGGTTCATCGGGGCGGGGGCGCGCTGCGATCGCCGTGGTGCGCGCCCGAACAGCACTCTACGCGTGCGAGCGTAACATTGGCCTGCGATTCGACCACGCGTGCAAGGCCTGAGAGCACCATCAAGGCACATGCGAGCACCGCATTGGCCTGCGAGCGACCAGTGTGCGGCTGCGGCAACCATACCGCCGCGCGAGCACCGCAACGCACTTGGAAGCGCCAGGGTGCGCTTGCGAACACCACCTTGCGCTTGCGAGCACCACATGTCGCACACTGCGCACCAGCGAACACCCAAATGCTGTTGCGACCACCGCGTGGCGTGACGTCGGAAACGTCGCTGTCGTCGCCGTCATCGCAGTCGTTGTTGTCTTCGTCGTCATCGTCGTCGTCCACGTCGGAATCGAAGTCGCAGTCGTCGCCGCCGTCGGAATCGTCACCGTCGTCGCGTTCGTCGTCATCGGAACCGTCGTTATCCTCGTCGTGTCACCGTCGGTGCTGCCCAAAGTTGTCATCGGAATAGTCGCCGTCGTCGTCGTCGACGTCGTCCGCATCGTCGTCGTCGTCCACGTTGTCGTCGTTGGCGTCGCCGCCGTCGTCGAAAAGTATCGTCATCGGGATCGTCGTCGTCGTCGTGCTCCTGATCCTCCTCCCTTTTTCTCCCCCTCGTCCTCATTCACCTCCTCTTTCCTCCTCCTCGCCTTCCTCGTCCTCGTTCTCCTCCTCCTCCTCCTCCTCCTGTTCCACCCGCTCCTCCTCCGCCTCCTCCTCCGCCTGCTCCTCCGCCTCTTCCTCCCGACGCTTCGCCCAGGCGGAGGCTGCGAGCGCAGCCTGTCCACACGGAGCACCGCCGAATGGCCGCGGAGGGCACTTCTGTGACCACGGAGGGCCTCGCCCCGCAGCAGGTGCCCCCGACGACGGAGCGAGGAGCGGCCCGGGCAGTGGACGCACCCCCCGAGGCCTGGAAGGCAGCGCGGAGCGCGCCGCGAATGCGCACCAAACAGGCGGCCAACGGCCACATTTGAACAGTCTCGTGGCGAACGGCCACATTTGAACAGTTTCCGTACTACCAGAAGTATTTTCTGCTGGTTTGTTCCACTAGTTTGGCCAACGCTACGATGCCAAACATTCACGTAGACCCTATGGTCGCTTGTATTAATTTCGATTTCGATGGGATTCATAAAACAGGCGGGCGGCGGTTGTAAGCAGGGCAGCCGGACACGACGACGAGGACGCCGAGGACGACAGGCACGACGACGGACGACGGATGACGACGTCGGACGACGGACGACGACGACGGACGACGACGACGACGGCGACGACGGCCGACGACAACGACGACGGACGACAACGACAGACGACGACGATTACGACTCCGACTCCGACACCAACGGCGACGACGACTGCGACTGACGACAACGCCCGACGACGACCACCAACGACGACAACGATTCCGATGACGACGGCGACGCTGACGACGACGGCGGGGGCGGCAGCGAAGGCGGCGACGACGACAAACGACGAGGTCGACGACGGTGGCGGCAGCGGCCGCGGCGGCCACATGACATAAACCGACCCCGCGCTTACAACGGGCATGCGCGTGTCAGACAGACCCCCCAATACTGGAGACGAATGATCTGTCTGACGCCCTTATGAATAGCCTGGGGCCCAAACAATAATGTAAAATCCCGCGCAACAGCGACGACGATGACGACTCTTACGACAGATATTGCGACTACGAACGCGATACGACTACGGCTACGGCTGCGGAGAAGAACGCGTCGATCAATACAGCAATCCTCCTACAAACGTGCTCAAAATTCCACTGTCGTGCAGGGTAGCTCAGAGTTCGCCATTCGCTGAGAGAAAGAGCCCCCAATTTCTCCAGCGCGGCGAACACAAGTGGAAACAAAATCCCCGGTGCGACGACGACGACAACGACGGCGACAACCACGACCGCAACCACGACCACGACTACAACCACAACCACCGATCCCTATTGCCCTGGATTCTCTCGCGTGTAGGGTTGCCCACAATGGATTACGGATCCTCTCGCGTGTAGGATCGCGGATCCCTTTACGTTCTTTGAACATTGAAAACATGCTCACGGATCCTCTCGGACGCCCACAATGGACTAGCCCCTGGGGGGAAAAACTTCCTCCCACCATTATCCAGCCCGCCCAAACAATAATGGGGCACAAACCTTCGCCACGACGGCGACGACGGCGACGAAGACGACGACGACTACGATGACGACCACGAGAGGGAGCAGGAGAAGGAGGAGCAGAAAGGAGAGAGGAGGAGAAGGAGGAGGAAAAGGGTCGGAGAGAGTCCCCCGCCAAGAGAAACAGTTGGGGAGTGCGCAAATCAATACCCCCTACAGTTATACTGCAATCGCATTGCAATTACGACGAGATGAAGGAGAAGATTGTGAGCAACGTCTCGGCGGCGAATGTGTCGATCTGTAGTGCAATCCTCTTACAAACGTGTTCAACATTCCCGCGTCGCGTAGGCTCGCCCAGGTCGCATGAGTTGCTGGAAGAGAGAGCACCCCAACGTCATCCAGCACGGCGAACACAAGCAGGAAACGAATCGGTGGCCCACGTCGCGGGCGCCGACGACGAGAAGGGATGAAACGAGGACCACGAGGAGGCGGAGGAGGAGGAGGAGGAGGAGGAGGAGAAGGAGGAGGAGGAGGGAGAGGAGGGTAGGAGGAGGAGGAGGAGGAAGGAAGAGGAGGACACGGAGGAGGAAAAGGAGGGAGAAGGAGGAGGAGGAGACGGAGGAGGCGGAGGCGGAGGAGGCGGAGGAGGCGGAGGAGGAGCAGCAGGCAGAGGATCACTTGGAAGGATTACCTGAGACGTACAGTGTACGGGCACCCGACTGTGCTACTCTGCGATTGGCCTCGGCAATAGCGTGCTGCGCATCTCTCTGATTCAGCGCCTCGCGGATCTTTATGGGCATCCTTTTGGGGTGCGGCCACAAACCTTTCTCAATTCTGGCAAGCTTCTGCTTGCCTTCAGCCGTGCGGGACAGAGCCGTGCCTTGCTCCCCGCCGAGAGACACTCGGGAGGGGGGGGCAGGAACGAAAGACACCCAAAATTGAGGTACCTCAACCGCGTTGTTCCTTTCCCCCCTCGTCCTTATCCATCGTCGCCGTCCTCCTCCTCATCCTCCTCCGTCTGCTCCTCTCGCGAACACCACATTCACCTGCGAACGCCGCAGGATGCCCGCGAGCGCCGCAACGCGATTGAACCACACTCCTGCGAGCACCACGCGCACGTACAACAGCACGCCAGACAAATTCAGAATCGAAGAAGGGCGAGCAGCGCAACGCGTGCTTGACCACCACAAAGAAGCGTGCATATGCAACGGTATCACGTGATAACAACAATTTACCTGTGCGCAACGCAACATGCCTTCGGACACCTGCATGTCGGAAGGGATCCACGTCCACCCCCCGGGAACGATCGTTACCGTTACCGGGGCGGGGGCTTGGCCCGGGTAGCGAGCGTTTTCCGCCAGAAGGTAACAACAACGATCTCGACAAACTTGCCGACTGGAGCCTTTGGCGCGATTGCGAGTCACCGACTGGCCCCAACGAGTACGCCGCCGCACACGCGCCAGCACGTGCCTGGGCGGGCGAGGAGGCGGTCCCCGGAAGCTCCGACCCCTTCCCTGGGGCCAGCGTCTCATTCTGAGCCAGTTTCTTGACGGTCCTTCTTGGGACCGACAGAACCCTCGACTCCCGAGGCATGGCGAAACCTCCGCCGTGTTTCTTTGTTGGGGGACGTTGCATGTCTGGGCCAGGGGTGCTTCTGCCTGCGCTTCTGCCCCTGGGTTGTGGCCGCCATGCCGCTCCGCGCCCACTGCCAGGGTGATGGAGCCCTGGCTGGCCGCTCCGGCCCCTCCAAGGCGATGCACCCCGCCCTGAGAAGTGCCCTCCGCTCCTCTTTCTATGTCCTTCCTGCCGCCCGCCTGTTCTCTCGCTCCCCCCTCTTGCCACCGGACCATTCGCGTTTGCCTCCTCCTGGCCCGCTCGAGCGCGCGGGCGGGCTGCCTCTGCCGCGCTGTGACCTAAAATGTCTGGGCCAGGGAGCCCAGACCACCGACGTCGCGTCTTTTCACAACGTCGATCCCCAGAGGCCTGGACCCCCTCCCCGGGCCTGGCCTTCCATCCTGGGCCGTGTGGTTGACGGCCCCGAAGCTCCGCAAGGGCCCCCGGAGGCCGAGAGCAGCCAACGGCCTCCCGTCGCGACTCTGTTTCTGCAACGCAAGGGGGTCCGGGTGTGGGCGGTGGACAAACCTCCCTTTAGTAGACCTTCCCTTAGTGAAAACGGCTTGGGACCGAAACCGACGGACCTGGACCCGCAAAATGACGGCCGCGACGCCCTCTCGCGAACCAAAAACGGCCAATTCCTGAATCGACGTGTCAGGGGAGGAGGTCTGTCCACCCCCGAGGGTGCCTGGGCCCGGGAGGCCCGCCGGCGGTCCCCACGCCGACCCCCCTCCCGGTCAGGACGAACATCTCGCCGCGCCCTGCGAGGGCGTTGGCGTCCGCGGCCGAAAGGCACCCGCGCAGCAGGCCGGCGAGGCAGTCCCGGGCCCAGCCCCGGCGGCCTGCACGCTGCGCGCAGGCCCGGAGGAACGCGTCGCTGGCCTCGTGAGGGGAGGGGTGCCTCCCTCGTGGGGTTCGGAGCGGGTGGGGCATCAGGACGTTGCTGTTTTGCTACTCGGCGGCGAGCTCGGGGGGAAGCGAGAAGGGGCGGGCCTTCTCAGAAGCCTCGGACATCCCCCAGCCATCTGAGAAGTTGCTCAGCCTTCCCCGAAGACACAGGGAACTTCTCAGAAGGCCAGAGGGATTCTGAGAAGCCAGGCCCCCTCCTGAGAAGGCCATCTCCTTTTCACGTTCCCCCCTTGCCCGCCACCGAACTACAGCCGAATCTATAATCAACAAACCTATAATTCAAGAAATACGAGCCATCTTCTTCAAACAAAGCTGCGCCAATATCTCGGACAAAATCAAACA